CACAGGGAGGAGAGGGCGGGGCAGCAGGGATTCTCTGGCTGGCTGGCGCAGCACCTAATAACCAGCTCGCAAAATAAAACAAAATAAAAACAAACCAACAAACTATAGCTTTCAACGTTAGCGCTGTCATCACAATTAACACGATTTAAAAATTTTAATGCTGTGGTGGACCACTAGAGGGCTCCACTCACACCCAGTGTTGAGGAAATGTGTTGCTGAGTTTTGTGGCGCGATGTATTCAGTTGATGTGAAGAGAGGAATAAAGCTGGTCTGTGCTTACCTCCACATTGGTGACCCCAGACTCGAACATGTTACAGGTCGAGGATGACGCCAGCTCTGGTCTGGATACATCAACGACTGCAGGTCCTCCGCCTCCTGCTGCAGCTAAGTTTGCTGTGGCGCTGAAGCTGCCGGACTTTTGGCTCCATGATCCCGTCGTGGTTTGTGCACGTGGAGGCTCAGTTCACCCTTCCTGTCATCTCGACTGACGACACGAAGTATCACCATGTGGTGGCCTCGCTCAACCCGTTAGCCACCTGTCGTGCAATTACCCTCCTCCGGGACCCACCCGCCCAAGGGAAATATGCCGCCCTTAAGGAACTGCTTCTTCAGCGCTATGCCCTGTCCGATGCGGAGCGAGCCGAAAAGCTTCTCTCCCTCTCAGGCCTGGGTGTTGGCAGACGGTCGGTGGCGGCCATGCAGACATTTTAGCAGTTTAAATAATGCCACGAAGAACGATCGTTACCCCACCTCCACATTCAAGATTTTTCCGCCCATCTCACTGGGACCTCGAATTTTTTCTAACATTGACGTGGTGCCGCGGTATCACCAGGTTCCTGTGTGCGCTGAAGACATTTCTAAAACCGCTGTCATTACCCTCTTTGGCTTATTCGAGTTTTTGCACATGCTGTTTGACCTGAAAGGCTGATGGACTCTGTCTTGCGGGGGTTGCCTTTCGTTTTCGTGTACCTGGACGATATATTGGTGGCCAGCTGCTCGGTGAGCAAGCACAAGTCCCATCTGCACCAGGTTTTTCAGCATTTGGCTGAGCACGGGATGATAAATTTTTACAACCGCTTTCTCCCCAGAGCTTCCCACCTGCTACAGCCGCTCTACGCTGCCTTGAAAGGTAAAACAGCCAAAGATCTTGTTGACTGGCTCCCGGAATGCAATCAGGCGTAATCCACGGCCAAGTCTGCGCTACGTAATGCCACCCTACTGGCCCACCCATTTCCTTCAGCAGAGATCGCGTTGACCACCGGCGCATTGGACGTAGCAGTGGGTGCCATGTTGGAATAGCGGGTTTCCGGTGTCTGGCAGCCACTCGCATTTTTCAGTCATACACTGGATGCCAAACGCAAGTACAGTGTTTTCGTCCGGGAGCAGCTGGCCCTGCACCTCGTGACACGACGTTTTCGTATTTTGCTCGAGGGTCGCAACTTTACCGCGTTCGTTGATCACAAACCCTTGACCTTTGCAATATCCAAGGTCTCTGACCCATGGAGCGCATGCCAGCAGCGCCAGTTGGCGTCCATTTCGGATGTTACGATAGACATTCAGCATGTGGCTGGTAAAAGTCCAATCACGTCCCTGACTGTCTCTCCCACGTGTTGGTTTCTCCCGTGTATATTGGCGTGGACTACACTGCCATGACCACTGAGCAATGTGCAGACCCGGACGTCCTTGCCCTTCAGTCAACGAAAACGGGCCTCGTGCTGTGTGGGACAGCGGTCCGCGCCTGCTTTGCAATGTTGTCACCGGCCGCCCAGGCCCGGTAGTTCCCCTTTCATGGCATCATCGTGTTGTTGACCTTCTCATTTTGTTTGTTGCCCATAGGCGCCCATTGCATCCATTGTATGATTGACAGGCTGTACAGGGTTATTAAACCGGGCCAAAAACATTTCCTTTTGGACTTTGGAGGTCAGCAGGAGGTCTTCTCTGATGACAGACTTAATCCTGCACATGTTCTGCAAGACAAGAAACACAAAAACTGAAGACATTATGATATAGACTTATAATTTTCACCGATGTGTTTTCTAAATTCTATCATACACATATGAGTGAGCACAAAAAACACAAAAAAAACCTATACAAGTATAGATCTATTAGTCTATTAGTTTATGTTGCTGGGTGTTGTTACTGGAGTGCAAAATTACTGATGGAAGATGGACAAAAAAATGTCAAAGCCACCAGGTTTAGAAAAAAAAGAGAAAACAATAATAAGCAAAAGATACAGGAAAGCAGATGTGACTTTGGATAATGGCAGGTATTATGTATCCTGAAACAAGATAACATTCATTAGTAGTAATTGGGAAACCTTCTGTTTACCTTTGTTAGCCACTTGGCTATGATAGTAAACAGTATCCAATCCAATCCAATCCAATTTTATTTATAAAGCACTTTAAAATACCCAGCACTGGAACAAAGTGCTGTACAGAAAATAAGTTAAAACAATAGAATAACAGAAAACAGCAAAATAAATAAATAAAACACATAAAACATAAAATTAAAACAGCCCTATATTAAAACAAAAACAAGATAAAACAGCATCAAATCACCTAAAAACAACTAAAATAAAAAATAAAAATAAAAATAAAAATAAAAAACCAACATCTACCAACAGTAGACTGCTGATGATAGGACAAAGACAGCATATATTAAAAATGACATCTCGCAGGCGCCCAAGAGCAATCCTAGTCAGATGCTCAAACCAACTGGCTCCTTTTTGATGTGGCAGCAGATGCCAGCCTTTGGAGGAAGCTTATTTCCACGTATTTCTTTTGGTCACTACCCATAGCTCGTAACTGTAGGTGAAGGTAGTGACATAGACCAAATGGTAAATTGAGAGCTTTGCTTCTATACTAAGCTCGTCACCACGACGAACCAGTACAGCGTCCGATCGCTGCAGACACGGCACCAATCAGTCTGTCGATCTCCCAATCCCCTCACTCGTGCAACCATCAATTACAGGTGACCTGTTTGTTAACAATTCTGACAACAAATTAGAGTGCAGATGGAGGAGATGGATGTTGGATTCACTCCAAAACCTCGATGCAATTCCAGCACAAATGCTTCAAATGTTTCACTGTCTCACATAGCCTCATTTTGGCCCTCACAACCTTCAGGGAACTTAGAAAGAATGTTCCTTCACGGTTCCCCGAAGGTCACTGATTGCTGGGTTATGTAATTAAAACAGAGAACTTAGATGTATTAGCAGCAGCTGTTTTTCAGGGATCTCTGCTGATGTTAGGTAGACAGAGTGCTGAAGTGTTGCTGCCCTCTGCTGGACTGTGTATTGTATTCAACAGTCTAAAAATAAGATACCCATGTAATCCCTGCATGCTATTAAATGGTGTGAAGATTGAAAACTGCTTCTACTAATTCTGAAAACTTTCCATCGGGATCTTTATTAATCAGTCACCTCAATCATTAACTCACAACCACAAAGTTTCAACCTGGTTACAATAAAATATCTTTTAATAGTGGAGAGAAAGTTTATTTGTCATGGCTTTCATGAATTAAAGACTTTCTGTTTTCCTTGTTTTCACACATTTCCTCAATGGTTATGACATATGTACGTTCGGTTCTTTCCTCAAGAGTGACTCTTTTTGCGAACTGATCTTCATCCGCACTGCCCTGGACACACACATGCAGTGCATGGCAGCCAAACAATAACATGAACCTGACATCTCTGCCTTAAACACTGATATACTGTCAGGAATTCTGCATGCCTTTTTAATTCATGAATTCATCTATCAGTACTTCTCTTTCTGAATCTTTTTTTCTTCCTGATTTCCATCGGTAAAAATAATTCAAAATGTGTTTAGCTACTGGCTTCTGGATCTTACAGACAGGAAGAGATTACCGTGAATAACAGATCTGACTTCATTTAGCTCCCAGTTTAGAATTGGTTGTTGTTGTTCTCAATTGTTCTGTATTTTTAAGGCTGTTGAAATATTTTTTTCTTTTTGTTCTGTTTGGGTTTTTTTGTTTGGTTTTGTTTTATATTATTAGCATTTCTGTCAGTGACAGAGACTTATATGAACAATTACATTTTGCTGATGTGTGTGTAATCTTTAAATGCATGTTTGTGTCTATGTGCCCAGCATACATGACACAGGAAAGTTGTGCAAGACAGAAAAAGAAATAGCAGGACTTTTAAGGAAGGACATGCCTCTCAGCATCCCTCCCCTCACTGACAGCATGTTACAACCTGCGAGGCAGGAAAAGATTCAGTTTTTTTTCAGCTCACAGGAACACCATCAAATTTTGGGAACAGTGGATATCTTAAGCTCATACACATCACGGAGAAATAACAAACCGTCAAAAGGTGAGCAATATAATATATACTAAATAGCCATTTTAGCATATTTTCTTTTGGATCTCTTTTTGATAACAAACAGCATCTTATTTTTGTTGCAATACTTACTGGTGATGTAAGCCTGGCAGTAATTAATTTTTTTGCTCTTGCACAAATCCAACAGGGGAAAATAAACAGTGTGTTTTAGTGGAACCAGAGAAAAGAAATTAAGACTTGATGTCTTGTTCTCATCATGTCATCGTATGTTGACCAGTTTGTGAACCTTTAGACTTCTGTCACTATCACTTATATTTATTTTGTCTTTGCGATCAGTGCACAGATGCGTCATACTTTTTACCACAAGGTGCAAAACTGACGCAGAGGATGACTGTCTGTGACTTCGGCATATCAGTTTTCGACATGAGACAAAGGAGGGAAAAAAATCAACTTGAAACAAAGACTGTATATTTTTCTTTGACGCAGTGCAGCTAATGTTCAACAAGTTTGGGCTGAATCGTTGGCTTGGTTGCAAATATTTAAACGCTGTGTCAGGGTAGCACATGTCCTCAGTTATTGTGTATGACTGTCTTCTTATTATTATGGTTTGTTTGAATGTTGTTTGTTGAAAGAATCAAATCGTCCAAAAACTCTGTGTTCAGTAATTTCTGTCACTTTTTTTAAAATAAATAAATAAACTAGTAAAAAACTATATCTAATTTGCTTAACACAGAGAAAAAATAGGTTGTGGTGGTTTTAGAAAGTGTCTAAAATCTATCTGTACAGAGCTGATGGTTAAATGTCGAAAAATAAACACTACCAAAGTCAAACATTTTGGTTTTCATATTTGTAGAAATTTTTCAGATCTATTAAGTAAAATAGGATTTAGGCTTTGGCGGTGCAGGTTAGAACGTGTTTTGGGTGGTCTCCCATGATTTCTGGATTAAGGTATTGAAGCTCTTTCTTGATAAGAAACATCTGTTCAATGTGGAGAGTCTGAAAATGCAGTTCAAAGGTGCTTATCTTAAAAAGATAAATGAATGATAATAAATAATACTGAAGTGGCAATCTGCTAGTTTGACAGAGTCATGCTGAATTATAACCACTGTAAACAGTTTCCATGAAGTTAGCATTTATCAAGGGCTACTTTCGTGTTTTGGACCTCATTAGTTTTGTTTATTTATTGATTTATAGAGTTAAATGTCAATCTCATTTATTTCACCTCTGTAATATTCTTGATATTTAAATGGATCTATAGTTATATATATATTAGAGCTATTTCTGATGTTTTGTAGACTTTTTAATACATTGTAATATTAAATTAGTTTAGTCTGTTACTGTCATTGTCTTGGAGCAGCTGTAAGCTACATAATTTCCTTTTGGTGTTCTAATGTTTTTTCCCATCTAAAGGATC